TGTCTGTTTGTCTGTGGTTATAGGTTCATATCGTACATGTTTCTTTATTTAAATAGATTACTGCCTCTCAAATAATCTGTGAGCCCCTAAATATTGTTAAAGTTTAGTTATAGTTTATCTTCCTTTCTTTTTATAAAGTAGCATAATTTCTCGAGTTTAAAAAGTTTTCCGAATGAATATTTAAATCTCAAAATTTATTCTTTTTTATCTTGTCATCATAACAATTACCTTCAAATAGGAGGATTAAGTTTTAAAGTATTTATTTTGAAAATTGTCATATTTTTTCAGCTACTATTAATATCGTTATAACATTTGAATAAAAATACAAGTTTTAACCTTATAATAAGTACCATCCAATCTTCAAAACGTATCGTCTTTTAGAATAGGTGAAGATAAGTTCACCAGTGCGCATATTACGGTCATTATGCTATTAACTAGACCCAATACAGGAGCTTCAACTGTTGATTGCATGATTCCAAAAAATTTTATCCGCTGTATTGCTCTTTCGACATGGATCCTGGATTTTGCAATGCTTTCATTCAGTATAGCATCTCTTTCTGTATGTCGATCAGTTCGCAAAAACGGAGGAATATGAAGACGGATTCCCTTATTGAGGCATTCCTGTTGAATGCTAAAGCCTTTGTCAACCATCAGTTCATCAGTGAAAGCATCAAGCAAGTTTACAAATTTTTGTTCGTCAAAAATTTGTTTGTCAGATGCTTTTCCACTGTATGCTTTACTCACGTAGCTGATGAGTCCACCTGGGGTCACACCAAGAAGGAATTTTATAGTCCTCCTTCCCTTATAATTTGAATAACATGCAATACAACAGTTGATGCATTTAAGAGTAGCAACAGGAATTTCGGTGCAGTCCAGCACACACCTCACTTTTTCAAATTTTCCTCTAAAACATAGTGGTATATTCATAGCTATTTCTTCACGGTCAGGCCAGTGCACAAACTTTTGCAACACTTCCACTAGAATCTGCAAAAAATAGAAATAAGATTAGTTATTGAAAGAAAAATGTAGTTTTAAGCATATTCTTATCGTGTAAACCGTGTAATCGTAAGGTAAACTACTGTAACAAAATTAATTATCATAATAATGAGTCTGCAAAATGTGTGACGATCCTGCCCCGTTGCCGAGAAGTGAGCTTGTCCGTAGCAACGACACGCATTTTGCACACTCGGTATTCTGAATCTTAATCTCACCTGTATTGTATGACTGAAATAATGTGACACTGTTGAAGTAGCTACGTCAAAAAGAGTAGCAAGAGCAATAAACGAAATGTTTTGCTTTAATTTTGCTAATGTTAATACAACCCGATCGATGGCTGACATCCTGAACTGCACTTTATACAACTGATCTTCAATTATCTTGACTGAAATACAAATTGAATCCAACTGCTCAAGAGATGCTACTCCAGTCCAGACAATTGCATCTCTATCAGTTTTAATCAAGTTGGTTAACGTAGCTTCCTTTCCTCGTTCAGAAATTCCTCTACTAACAGTTTTTAGGAATGTTGAGTTTTCATTAGTATCTGCATTAGAGTTAGTAACATCGTTGTGTGTAACGCTTGGTTTACATCCATTATCATCTGACACTGTAGTAAAGAATTTATTTTCCACTCCTTCCACATGGTTGGTTTGCATATCATCCTTATTATGATCCGTACGAGACAAAAACGTTGAATTAAATTTATTGTCAACAGAATTTAAATAATCTCTGCCATTTTCTTTAAAATCTCTATTCGTAATGAATCAGACTGCGTTGACGATGTTGAAGAAAGACGATTCATGAATGTTTCATCATGGGACTGAAGATGATTCTGACTTCGAATAGTTCGTTGTTTAGTTTTTGGTCGGTTGTACGGATTTGGAAGTTGTAACACAGCAGTCGTTGGAAGGTATAAAGATGGACATGCTGTAGGTTTTAGACGTTTTCCTCCTAAAAATAAATCATAGTAAATAGTGAGGAAATTCATAAATAGGTAATTGACCCTATGTGCAATTTGGGTCCAATTTTTGACAACACATCACCATGTCTATAATTTACTTGTGCTCTGCACTCAAATGTCAAACATTTTTAATGTAGATTTTTCAGATATTTATTTTTCCTCGTATATTTCGTATTTATTAAAATCTATTAAAATTAGTGAATGACTTAAAAATCTTGTATAGTTTGTTAACAAAATTGGATCCTTATTGTTTCTAAAACTAAATGTTGTAGCAGATTGCTGCTGCAGATTTTGGAGTACTTCGAAGGAGGCTTCTTTGTTTTTACGGAATGAGTCCATTTTTTCAACATTAATGTATCGCGAGGAAACCGATGCAACTTTATGCCGTTTCCTGCCCGTGCTGTGCACCCAGGAACAAAACATATAGTTCTGCTTCGAGGCATTCTCCATGGAACACTGTATCCATGTTCCGGTACGTTAGTCTCGGCTAGAACAGGAACCTCTTTGACAAAAATTTTAATTTTGCGCTTGCTTTTTGGTGCGATTCCTCGGCTTGGAACTGCGTTAGGTTTGAGGTAGCGAGATGTTACTGATGAAAAATAAATCAATGGATACATTTAGCAATGAATAGTTTAAATGGACTTACTTTGAACGAAATCATTTAATTTAAAATGTTTGTGACAAATCTTCAGCCACTTCGATGACTCGTCAGCTGGAAGACGTAGAACGCAGTTCCATTTAGTTCGCCTTAAGCTAAATGCCGGATTAATCCTTACAAGTGGCTTAAACGCTGTCCAGACTGGAGAGTTATAACATGTTATAACGGTTGTCAAATAATTGCAACACAGAAACCACCATCAAGATAGCGCTATAACATGTTATAACTCTGTAGTCTGAACGTACTATTAGTTTTCCGGCATCCTGATATACAGCATCCTGGCTTCAACGTTACCTTTTTAATCTGCATTGGCAGAACCGACGGAATAGCCGTGGTTTTTAACTTTGTCCGTTTTACTGAAAAATAAATGATCATTAAATACAATTTCTAATGTATCAATAAAAACTATCTCACGGAACAGGAAGTCTTCTGGTTTGAAATGGTCGCCACATATTTTATATCCTGGTCTTCCGTTTAATTCCAAGAGCTTTGTCCACTTGCTGAAAACTTTACTACCCTTGTGAGGAACTGGAAATAACTGGCAATTTCCTCTCCTACAACTGAAAACAACACAGTTGTTTTCACGATCACCATTTCGTTCCCTCTGAAAAGAAATCATAACATTGACATTTTTCCATCTTAAAATGGATTAATATCACAATTATCACTTACCATAGCGTAGATAAATAATCTTATTCTTATAATATGTGGATAAAATTGCAAGAAAGCATCAGAATTATCAAATAAAATGTATTTTATTCCACCTTTTACAACGCCGTATGGGGTTTGACAGTTTGTTTACACTTCATCACTTTTTCCTACGCAGCGCCTCCAGCGGCGGATACTTATCGAAAGGGCCTATAGGGTACAGGAACCAAAACGGTAACAACATATAGCGGCGCCTGTGGTGTAGTGGTAAGCGTGATTACCTCTCACCCAGCAGGCCTGTGTTCAATCCCAGTCGGCGCCGCCGGGATGTTCTGAGGCATAATATCTCTGATCACGCCTTCGGCCGTTGGTCCCCGGTTCATGAGTTTGATAGGTCGATAGGTAGGGTCCAGGTGTGTGGGAGCTGCTTCCCTGGCGCGTCGGTAGCATTGGTGCTCAGCACGGAAAACAAGATCGACGGTAAACAAAAAATAAGGAAAAAAAAAGTTTCACATTTAAGGTAAAATTGGTAGCATCATCTTTATCGAAATGTAAGTATTATTGACAATAACCATAACTAGATGATATGCAAATTTATATGATAGGTACCTGGATCAACGTTTTTTAAACATGCACATTCAATCGTGATGGCATCTAATCCTGCATTTTAAACCTACCCAACCCTCTTCCTTTCTACAATCCCTGAGCAGCTGGTTCACCATAAGTGTACCTCGCAGAACTTTTTTAACCCCCATGGGTAAAGATGCTGTGTTGTTCACTCCTCTCCCCTTCCCTGGTGTATTATGGATGGTGTGAATATTCACATCGGTGACATGGCCCCTTGTACAAATGAAAATGAAAATGAAAATGATAGTCAAATTTGATATTGTGTTGCTCTAGTTTTGCTATTCTCCTCTACTTGGACTGTGTAGACACAGTTCAAACACACAAAATATCAGCCCCCCACCCCTCCTTCCTAAGCAGTTTAAAAAGCTTATGAACATCACCTTATTCAAGATTCAGGATCTTGTGAAATTTAAAAAAAATCTGAACATTAGGGGAGGGAGAATCAGGGGGTGGGTATTCGTCTATCCTTGCCACATCTTAGTCCCACCCCTCACTGACCAAGTTAAAAAGTTCCCGTGAAGTTATTTGTTCAATCTTGTTGAAGACTTTTTCTAAAACCATCTGGCATTCCTGTTCCAAACCAATTTGCATGGATACGGAAATTCTTTAATTTTGAACGTCCTAAGTGGATTGCAGCAACGATTTTTTTTCATATCACCAATATCGCCACTGTTGACAATCGCTTTCAATATTGCATGCAATTGTTCCATCATGTATGCTGTCAAATTTTCCGCGATGAGCTTACCTTTGATGGCACATCTCCTACACGGCCAATGAGAATAACTCAGAGAGAGAGTAACTTCTACTTAGTTGTATGTAGACATTTCTATAAACTGCAAGAATTCATCGCAGAGTAACTGCCAGCTTTTTTTTAATTTCTCATACAACCGAGGAAAGTGACTCTCTCTCTGAGCTATTCTCATTGGTCGTGTACACCCGTAAAAGCATATCAACCAACCCACTACTAAGGGAAAGCCTTGGAATCAACTAACCCCCTTTATTGCTCAGCCAATCAGCTGCTGTCAACGAGCTCATTCTTCCTCAGATAGCCAGCCTTTTTGCCATTTTGTTGTTTTTATCCAGATACGAATCAGAGAGTGAAATGTTTGATTAAATTTAAAAAAAAAGATACTCAGACAGCAGTCATCTGCACAAACAACGAAAACCAACAAGAAGAGCAACATGAGTGTTACAAACAAAAATCGTTAATAACATTAGTTTCAATTAGCACACCTCCTAAGTAGCAGCTTCGACCATCAGAGTGTTGTTAAATCAGTAGCACACAGCTCGGAGATGATGAAGCCTCGCGCCGTACGCAGTCGAATTCGACAGCAGGAACTGAATCCGGTATTCCACTGGCAGAACAAGACGGAAGATGATAAAGTGCTGAGCAAGACGAAGATCAAGCAAGCGCTCAAATCGGGTGTGTTGAATCTTGCGGCACAGGGATTGGCCACGGGTAAGTTTTTGTCCTTGAAATAGTCGATCCCCTCATTGCGACGACGACCGTGACATGTGCGGTGCGAGTTATCGTGAATGCATTTTTGTTTTCATATGCCACAACAAAACATGCCCTCCCTCTTAGTGGGGGGGAGGTGTGTGCATCAGCAGCATGATTTGTGATATAACGTCGCGTCATAAACAAAAATAAAACAGACATAGATTTCAGCAACCGTTGGTTTTAAGTGGATATCGGTTCCAGCTGGATAGCTTTAAGGTATTGCAATTATATTTTCTGCTGATTTTGGGCCCGGGCTGAACGAGCGCAAGCAACATTGTGTGTATTGCCGATTTGTCGACGGTATTCATCCGTATGGTAATTATGCCCCCTATCGGGTAGAAACCCAATTTCACGTTCTATTGGTTCCGAAATCTACGACGGTGTCGTTGCTGGAGTGTTGAGTTTAATCTTCCATTTGCCATTGTTCCGATCGTGAGCTCAGATCAGTGCTTCTCGTGCCACGCGCTAGGCGGTTTTGTTCGAATAAAAAGTCAGTGCTGCAGCGGAAAAGTATCCTTTTCCTGATTATCCCTGGTCGATCTTCTTGTTGGGGCTTTCTGGTGCAGCGCTAGTTCTGTGTGTGGTTGCTTCCTATTTGGGGAAGAGTGAAGAAATGTGGTACAGTTTGAGTGAGGACCCCTCGCCAACAAGCACAATGAGGAGATCGCGAACCCGGATCCCGTATCCGAAGCGGCGCTATCGCAAGATTCGGGGTCAGTTTCCGGTGGGCACTGTGGATTGTGTTAATTCTCTGGTTTTGTTTCGAATCGTTTCCCATTGTAGTGCCGGAGAAGGTGTGGAATCTGAGTGACTCGGAGGACTGTGATAACAAGGATGTCCGGTACGATTTGGATCGATCCAACGAAGAAGAGAGCTGGTGGCATCAGACAACGTTGACCAATCTGGATCTCAGCTCGAATTCGCTGACCTGCATCAGTGAAAATGTGAAAAATCTGGCCGATCTGACGGTGTTGAATGTAAGTGTGGGTTGTGTAGCTGGGGTATGGTAGGGGTCATAACAATTATTCCGGCCATTTAAGCGATATAGAGCGTAGTTTTGCGATGACATCATACATGTGGGAGTGTCTGGTAACATGTGTATGGAGGTAATAATGGAGCGCAATTAATTCCGAAATATGTTCGTGAAATAACTGACATTTGATTGGTTAGTCTAAATGCATTTAACTGGTTTAAAAAATGTGTCCAAGTTGAAGAAGATGCAACAAATTAGAGATAATTGATGAATACTGAATAGCAAGTCTAAAATATTTGAGCCTTTCATTTCTCGACTTCACCACAGATTACCATCGAACATCGAATTTAACTATTACAATCTGAAGAAATATCACTCAAATCAAATTACAAGCATCATAAACCAATCACCTATATGTGACGTTTAAATTAAAATCATGCTAAACGAATAATCCATTTCAGCTACAAGATAACGCACTAACCAGCCTGCCGGACGGCATCGGTTGTCTTACCAAACTAACCAAGCTAAACATTAGCCGTAACAAGCTAACCGAGCTACCGGAGAGTTTCTTCGAGTTGAAGGAGCTGATCAATCTTAACCTTTCCCACAATGACTTTTCTGAAATTCACAGCAACGTGAGCGACCTGATCATGCTGGAAGTGCTGGTAAACTCTCCTAGCTTAGCTAAACACTAGAAAATTAGTACATTAATTGTGTCCATCTGCATTGGTAGGACATATCTTTTAACAGTCTTAATTCGCTTCCTGGTGGCATTGGGTTCCTTGTGCGTCTACAGCAGCTAACGCTCAATAAAAACCGGCTCATAGAGCTACCGAACGATATTGTCAATTTGAGAAGTAAGTTGCCCTTTTGCTGCGATCCCCAAGATTCGTCTCATACAAAAACTTCCGCTATAATCGACAGATCTGCATAAAATGGACCTGGCAAAGAATGATCTGAAACAACTTCCACCCGTCATGGGTGAACTGCGAAAATTGGAATGTCTGTACGTACAGCACAATGATGTCGTGGAGCTGCCGGACTTCACCGGATGCGACGCTCTGAAAGAGATTCACATTTCAAACAACTTTATCAAATACATTCCGGCGGACTTTTGTGAAAACTTGCCACAGTTGAAGGTCCTGGATCTTCGCGATAACAAGATCGAGAAGCTGCCGGACGAGATTGCCATGCTTGCCAGCCTGACTCGACTGGATATTTCGAATAATTCGATCAGCAGCCTGCCCTCATGTTTGTCTACGTTGGCACATTTGGTGAGCTTGCAGGTGGATGGTAATCCGATCAGGTCTATTCGAAGGGATATCATTCAGTGCGGAACGCAGCGGATCCTGAAGACGCTTAGGGAAAGAGATGGACCAGGGAAAGGGGTGGAGAAAGTCAAGGCTCCGTTTGAGGAAAGTACCTTCCCGGATGTGTACCAAATGAAGAAGGGAAGATCGATGATTGTTAGCAACAAGAACCTGATCGATATCCCAGAACAAGTTTTCCTGGACGCTACGGAGGCTTCGGTGTATAATGTCGATATCAGTAAGAATAAACTGTCAGAAGTTCCAGCAGGGTAAGATGATGGCGCTAATATTTTCAGCTGTAAGAAAAGTGAAAAACTTTAAATTATAGACTCACGCACCTGGCCAATCAGATGACGGAGCTCAACATTAGCTTCAACGCTCTCAAAACGATTCCCACGTTCTTCTCGCAATTTGAGCGAATCGGCTATCTGAACGTTTCCAACAACTTGTTAACCGATTTGCCGGAAGTCGTTGGTCTCATGGTAACTTTGCGTGAACTGAACGTGGCCAACAACCAGCTGAAGCGTATTCCTCCATGCATTTACGAGTTGAAAGGGCTGGAAATCCTGCTAGCTCGAGACAACAAAATCGAGGAAATTGACGCCTCCGAAAATGGATTGGCTGCACTACCTCGGTTAGCCACGCTGGATTTAGCCAATAACAATGTCAAACAAGTACCTCCGGTTCTTGGGTTGTTGAAAAATATTACGTAAGATGACAGTGCCTGTGAAGAATATTGTCCATCACTGTAGTAAATGTTTTCGTATTTTCAGTACATTGGAATTGATTGGAAACGGCTTCCGGCAGCCCCGCCATCAGATCCTGGAAAAAGGAACGGAGTCGATCATGGCTTATCTGAGGGATCGAATTCCTAACTAGGATCAACAGAAATTACTCGTTGTCCGCACACTTGAGATTAAGTAGTTTGCATGCTTTTAGTCACTCGCAAGAGAAAAAAAAACAACTTATCAAAGATATAGGATTTTAAGAAATAAACTTTATTGATAAAAGCACACCGCTTTAGGGCACGATTCGTAGCAAAATTGAATTGTGAGTCTGAAATTTACCGTAGTTGATCTGGGAAACATAAAGGCGTGGAAGCGTGCCGCTAGTACAACTTCGGAGGAATTCTTCTGTTTTCGAAAGCCTGGAAAGAGCTGCCTGTCCAGCGGGCAACCTTTGTCGTTTAGCAGCGTGACGGTTTGCTCTCCCGAATATGCGACCAAGCTGTGCGGCATAAGATCGTAGTCGCGATTCAAGGATTCGATTCGCATTTCCAGTAGTTGTCCGACAGTTGCTTCGAAGATTTCCGCCTGCGTTTCTACATCTCGCAGCATGGTAGTTATCTGTTTGGTAACCTTGGACGTGCCATTGTGGATTTCCGTCGAGCCGAAGCTAAATGACTGACTGTGAGGGATAAAATCAACGGTTGACTGCATCGGGAGGTTGTTCATCAACTGTGTAATGTTATTCGAATCGAAATGGTGTATGCAACCCGTTTTGAGAAGTCGGTCGGATTGCGTGCGAACTACGGGGTGTTGCTGAATGTAGACGTAGCTGAATACTAGAAAACTGAATGAATGCTCGTAAATGTTCGTCGTTTGTCTTAAAAACTATCAGTTTCGATACTCACTTGGACATATTGCCTTTGATGAATGCTCTTCGAATGCCACAGCGAGATTCTACTATTTCATTACCTGTTGCAATCTCCAGAATCTTTGTTCCATTACTAGTCATCTCGAAACTGCAATTCTTGTGGGCAGTATTCAGATACATACTTCCCTGAAAAAGCACATCTGGTTCATAGATCACCTCCATTCTATTGCTATAGCATTGCGCCTCCAGCTTCAGGCAAGGTACTCTTCTAGCATAAACCGAATCAAACAGCATGCGGATTGCCTTCGGACCCATGCTCGTCAAATCGTCCGAGTGTAGAAAGCAGCTGGCTTCAGCAATCCGCCCCACTCTGGAAGCATTATAATACGTGTATCCCAAACAGGCAAAGCGATCCTCAGCCAAACACCGCTCACTGCAGCTCTTCTCCCCCGATACGATCAGCGAATCATCGGCATAGACGAAAGCCGTATCGCGGTGCTGTTCGAACGAACAACTCGCCTCGCCTCGTTCGATCTCATAACACTGATTCTCCAGGTACTCTTCATCCTCCTCCCAGCCGCGTCTGAACGTTTCCGGATGGCTGAATCTATCGCCGCGACTGAGGAAGCACTGCCCCATTTGAACCCGATCGATCTTGGCCCACAAGCGATGTCGATTGTTCCGAAAAGATCTCACAAATCTCGCCGATCGGCAGGGAAACCGTTGCTCACGGAAGCACGCATTCGCACATTCGTCCCTAGTGACCAGTCGGGGCAACTGCTGGAAGTTTTGACCGACCAGGCTAGCGCCCGGTATCGTCACCAGGGGGAACAATTTGCTGGTGGCGCATTTTTGTGACACTGAATAGAAAATGAATGGTTTAGGTAATTGGATGAGGATATTGCCAGTGTTGCTAATTACTACTGTGCTAGTGCGAGCGGTGACGACGGGGGGAATTATCATAAAAGCGAATGGGAAGGCTAGTAGAAGCTATTCATCTTGGAGTAGGCATTGTCGCGTGAGAAAATTAGTGAAGCGTTGAGATGTTAGGCGAGGAAAATTATGGATTAGCGTGACAAAAAAAAAAAACCTTGTAGGATAGGCAAGCTAGCTATAGATTTAAGTTTAGTTTTAGTCATATTTTATTATTGCCTAAATGTATGCAACATGTGCGATTTCCATCGTTTTATTTTAGTTTGCCAGGAAAACTTGTGCTTGCATGCAGTGCGTATTTTTTTTCATAATCGTTGTTGAATTGTGACCTTAAGAAACTGATTTTTTTACGAGTTAATTAGTTATTCTCCGGTACCAAAATTCATTGCTATCCCAACTGGAAAAATTTGCCTATGTTTCAAAGGGGGGATCTGTTTTCAAGTCCTAGAATCTCGAAATTTTTTAATGCCCGGGAGTTCTTTTTAGTTTAACATCTGCCAAAGGTAACAGACATTTAAAAAAAATAAAGAGCAAGAAACCAAAAAACTAATCCAAATCCAACACGAAAGTTCGTAAGTCCTTACATCCCGAGGGGGACGACTCTATCTACGATGCAGAAAAGATTGTGTTTTGCTGTTGCTAGCTGCACGCACGCTGCGTAGATAGAAGAAAGATTTATGTCGATTTTGAAGATTTCCTGCAAAAAGATGAAACACGATGCAAGTAGATGCGAGAAATGAAAGATGATTTTTCAAAGATTGATTCGCTAGTGTGAGATTTTTTGAGTATCTAGAATTGAGATTTAGATGTGTCGCCCCCCTCGTTACATCCGAGATTTTGAAATTTCGTCTAATCTAAGACTTGATAAAGAGAAACAAATTGTTGAGATATTGTTAAAAGTCTAACACTGCTTCTTGACGCCAAACTCGGCCTACGGATTGAAATGCCATTGAAACGCCAATGAATTCACTTCAGCCTATCGGATGAAGATAAAGATTGATTGGGTCGGAGCGCTTCACTTGATAATATTGGGCGTTCTTATTGACTTCGTTCGGTAGCATTTGAACTAAAGTATCGCATCAAACGCATAATTTACCTGTTAACGCCGAAATCATGGATTTATTTGATGGTTTCTGCTTGATAGGCCCAAAATGGGCGCTTAGGCCGAAGTAGTTCTCTACCCTATCAGAATCTTTAAAAAATATCCCAAAATATAAAATAACTCCAAGTTCGAAAATTTAAATATAGTTCCATACCCCGTTTTTTGACGTAGGACTACGTCTTTAATTTCTGGGGGGGTCACATTAAAAAAAATTAAATTCAGACATGTTACGAAAAATCCCAAACACGGACGCAAAGATAGAGCGCAAATGGAACAAACGACACATTGGGCATGCTTACATGGGAGGAGAAAAGCAGCGATAATAAAAACGCTTGCCAAATCGTTTTCTTCGTCATTCCACAGTTTGCTTTCATCGAATCCAGTCGACGTTTCTTCTCTCGCTCTCTTCGTTCGTTCGATCGCGTTGTTACATTTTTTTTTAGTGACGCTCTCGCTGACCCAGCCATGGGTAAAAAATCGCGCGGTGCACCATCCAGCTGTGCACGGAAGGATACAAATTGATGGTTCCTGCGTTGAACCATTACAACGCGGTTCAGGTCATGCTGGACCAAGCACAGGTGGAGTACTTCTCCCACGACATCGAGGCTGTTAAGCCGTTCAAGGTGGTCCTGCGAGGACTATACGACATGGCCACAGGCGTCCTCTTGGAAGAGCTGGTGGCTAATGGACTAAAGCCGGTCCAAATTCACAAGATGGCCTGCCACAACAAGGCCGTCAAGTACCGCGACCAGCTATTGCTGGCCCACCTTGAGAAGAACTCAACAACTTTGATGGACCTCCAGGGCATCGGCGTTCTGTTCAACATAGTGGTGAAGTTGGAGCGGTGCAAGCCGGTCAGTCGTTGAGTCGCCCAATGCTCGAACTGCCTGCTGTTCGGGCATGGAACGAAGAATTGCCATACGGTCAGCCACTGCATCAAGTGTGGCACACAACACAAAACCGATGCCTGCGACAGACTCGATGAAGCCGATCCCATTTGCGCCAACTGCGGTGCTGATCACAAAGCTACAAGCAAGCCTGCCCTAAGCGCACCGAGTACATCGAGATCCGGAAAAAAAGCATCGACGAGAAACCAGCCTGGCCGCACGAAAGTGCCGGAAATTAATGACTAGAACATCCCACTGATACCTCGATGACCGATTACAGTGCTGCCACCGCTGCCACTCAATCAACGATTGGCTGCTTCGGCGGCCGCCACCGCTCAAGTTCAAACTGCCAGAGTCCCTGCAAACTCAGGACAAGATACGACCGCTGCTCCACAGCCGCAGGATCTCCCCGCAGCCCCTGGGCTAAACTGGCGTCAGGATGGACCATCCCTACCGCAGCCCGAAATCAACGATGGTTCTTGGTTCACCGCAGCGGAACTAATGATCATCTACCTCAAGATGCACGACATTGCCAACACCATCAAGAACAAATCTGACCAGCTCCAAGCTATGGCTACCTTCATGCTCAGTTATGGACCGTGAAACCATCAACTGAAACGTTTGCTCGCTCAAAATCAAGATCATCGAGTTCGTTGACTTCCTCAACAAACAAAACATCGACATTGCCGTTATCACTGAAACCCACCTGAAACCGGAGGTAAACATCCACCTTCCTGACTTCCGGCTTCTAAGACTTGATCGAACCAGCTCCGGGGGAGGGGTAGTGGCCATTACTGTAAGGAGAAACATCTGCTGTCGGCTTCTGCCGAGCTTCCAGCTGAAAACCATCGAAGCTTTAGGGGTAGAAGTCTCCACTCCTGTCGGTCCTATCACCATCATTGCGACCTACTGCCCCAAGCAAGTCACCATCAGGGACGGGTCGGCAGCAGACCTGCGGAAGGACATCATCAAACTAACTCGACGGTGCGAAAAGTACATCATCGCTGGCGATCTGAACGCCAAACACCAGGCTTGGGGCAACAGTCGACGCAACCAAAACGGCACCATCCTGAACGACGACCTGCAAGAGGCTCGCTACACCATATTAGCGCCGGACTGTCCCACCCGGTTGAGCCGGTCTGGTGTTCACTCCACGATAGACATCTTCATCAGCAACATGGGAGACAACATCTCGCTACCTGTGACCCATCAGGAGCTGAGTTCGGACCACTATCCGGTGGTGGCCGAAGTAGGCTCATCCGTCAACCGAATCCAAGCTTCCCGACGCAACTACCATCTTGTCAGCTGGGAGCAGTTCCAACACTGTGTCGACTACGGTGTTCTTCCGGAGACACCCGAAGACGTTTACCGGTGGCTGCGTTCCATCGAGCAGGCGATATCCCGGGCCAGGGAACAACACGTGCCAGTATCCAGACAGGTGAGCAATACTCTGAACCTTGATAGAATTACCAAAGATCTCATCAGACTCAGACGTAACTCCATCCGAAGGCAATACCAGCGTTCTGGTTTACGTGTCTTGAAGACCCATTGTAATCGTCTTACAAAAACCATCCAAGCCAGGATGGTGGACCTCAGAAATCAACATTTTGCTAACAAGATCCGCTCTCTCCCAGATTGTGCAAGGCCCTTCTGGAAACTAACGAAAATCCTTAAAAATAAGCCAAGACCCATTCCACCACTGACCCCACTGGATCGTCCCGGCGACCCAGTGGTTCATCTGATAACTCCTGAAGAGAAGGCTGCCGCGATAGGTCAACACTTCTGATGGCAGGGGTTTCACTGGCCGCCCAATCGCGAGCCCAACGTTCGTTGGTGATTTTTGATACCCATTTTTTGAGGTCCGGACCAGGTACAATTCGCGTGTACTTGGCCATACGACGACCTGAGTTGGCTAGTTGGTCCGCTTTTACGTTACCATGAACCCCGCAGTGTCCAGGTATCCACACAAAGACTGTGTTGTTTGGCGCGTGTTCCTGTATAGCCTGGATCCAAGGGTGTTTGCTCGTATCGGATTCCAGTGCGGCTACCACACTAGCGGAGTCGGTGAAGATGGCTATTGGTCGGTCGTCGGGAATGGTGGCTGCAATGAAGGCGGCAATGGCTTCCGCAGAGAAAATGGAGCACTGATCCGGGAGTCTATGGCATTCCGCGAGGTTTGGACCGAAAATCCCGATTCCTACCTTTCCCTGGGCTACCGAGCCATCCGAGTACCGAATGGTGTATCCTCCGTATTTCCGGTTCTGGAGTTCAAGTACCGCTTGTGCCACCGCTGAAGGATTGGCACCAGCTCTGAATTGGTGTTTGATTGTGTGGTCGGTCAGAATCTTCGGCATGTTCCAACCCCTCGCTCCGACCTAGTAAACCTTGGATATTGGGGGGAGAGTCGGGTTGGATGCTTCCCTGAGTGAATTGTTCGCCTCCGTGAGGAGGGAATCTTCCTTGTCGTCTCCTGATGTCTGCTGGTAAAGTCCGATGGCTCGTTGGCAGATAGTTTTGGAGATGAAGCGATCAAAGGGGAGCAGTCATCCTTCGATGCAAGCAGCTATTCCGGGGGTACCAGATTCGGAGAGATTGTTGATAGACCGGTGCTAACTTTTCGATCAATCGGGGCTTGGCAAGGAACGTAGCTTCGATTCCGTAGGTTAGACGTGAGTTGATGATGGCTTTCGCCACGTTCAGTCGGGATCTTCGGTTGGCATTTGGATGTCGTCCCGCTAGAGTTTTGAGCAGGTTCATACGCTGTTTGCATCCGTTTTTGACATCGTTGAAGTGTGTGTCGAAGGTGAGATGTCGGTCAAAGCAGACCCCGAGGATTCGGATCGTTTTCCGAAACGGAATTAGGTCTTCTTTGATGCAGACTTTGGTGCTGAGGACTTGGTGTTTTATCGGACAGATGTGGGTAAATCCGCTCTTAGTAGCTGGAAACCGGCCGACGAGGTCCATGCCGATACGTAGGTGACGGCCTGAATAAGCTTTCTTCGCAGTGCCTTCACCGTTTTCTTGACAGCCATTAGGACGATGTCGTCCGCGTAGACGAAGATGAAGATTCCAACTGGTAACCGCGTGAAGACATCGTTCATCCGAATGAGGAAAAGGGTAACGGCGATCGCGGAACCCTGTGGTACCCCTGTTTCCTCCTCGAATGTTTTGGATCGGCAGTTTCCAAGCGTGACTTGGAAGGTACGTTTGCATAAAAAGTTCTGGATGAATTTTAGGATGTGTCCCTTGAGTCCCCATTTCTTCAGCTGGTCAAGCACTCCCGGCATCCATGCCCGGTTGTATGCTTTGGATAGGTCGAGAGTGACCAGTTCTGCGTAAGGTTTTTGGAAAATGTATCCTGAAGGGCCTCGCTTAGGGATCCGAAGTAGGTGCTGGTCCCGTGCCCCGGTCTAAATGCGTGTTGGCGGTGGTCTAGAAGATTACCTTCTTCCAGGAATCTGAGTAGTCTCCTGTTCACCATCCTCTCCATTATCTTCGATGCGCAGCATGTTAGGGAAATCGGCCGGTACTTGTCGACTTCTTGTCCCGCAGAGTTTGGTTTGGGGATCGGGATGGTGAGACTGTGCCTCCATTGTTCCGGGAAGGAATCTTGTGTCCATTCTTGATTCAGGAGTTCCAGGAATTTGGCCTGTTCTCCCATTGGAAGATTTCGAATGAGAGGGTAGCTCACCTCGTCCGGTCCGGCTGAACCTCCTCTGGCCTTCGACAAGGCGTGTGAAAACTCCTCCAAACCAAATGGTCGGTTGATCTCCGAATTCTCTGCATCTTCGGGGATTTCCGAGGGGGACGACTCTATCTACGATGCAGGAAATATTGTGTTTTGCTGTGTCTAGCTGCGCGTACGCTGAGTAGATAGAAAGAAGATTTATCACGATTTTGAAGATTTCCTGCAAAAAGATGATGCGCGATGCAAGTAGATGCGACAAATGAAAGAAGATTTTTCGAAGATTTATTGGCTAGTGTGAGATTTTTTGAGCATCTAGAATTGAGATTTAGATGTGTCGCCCCCCTCGGGGATTTCGATGTCCCCGATCGAGTTAATGGTCGGGTGGTTTTTTCGACAAAACTCCTCGTCGTAACTGTCGATCGATGAAAGCGAAGCAAAGTAGTTCCCGATGGTGTCGACGATTTCAACCGGATCATGGGTAGCCACACCTTCATGTACAATGGTGATGCCTTGAGCTTTCCTCTTTCCACTGATTGCATTTACTTTGTGTAGTAGATAGAGTTGAGTTAAAAATAAAATAAAATAAATGATTTAAAATAAAGACAAAACAAATAAACTAACCCTTCATTATTGAGAGAAAAAAAAAAAAAATAGTAAATAAATGATACCCAGCGATAGACAAGTTTGCAAAAAGTCATTATGACTCGCGAACATTTCTCATGGATAACTAGATGTAATAGAAAAACGGTTACTAGTCAACCAATGAGGATCGCCTATAACGCGGGGGAACGAAAAACCGCGGGCACACGTATCATATAAAAGCGCGACCCGTGTCGCGCATTAGGCATTCATACAACTGATGTGAATAGAGTAGCATCCAATAGCAGCAATAACCGCGAGCAGTGCCGCGCATCAAATCAGCGAGAGGACGCCTTCCAGCAGCAGCAATAACCGCGAGTAGTGTCGCGCATCGAACAGAGAGAGAGAGAGAGAGCAAACGGCAGCAAGACCACGACCCGTTGCCGTGAAACGGAGCGGTGAACCATCGGTTGCGAGAGAGCGCCTTCCAGCAGTAACCGCGAGCAGTGTCGCGCATCGAATCAGCGAGAGGAGGCCTTCCAGCAGCAGCAGTAACCGCGAGTAGTACCGCGCAACGATCCAGCGTGTTCAACAAACAGCCTTTTTCAAGGCTAACAGTTGGTTTTGAATTTTCACATCGAATTCAAGTTGCACTCCGAGACGGTGTGGACAGGATCCAGCGTATCAGCAGTCACCATGGCCGAGATTGTCGACTGGCAAATTGAAAGCGTGCCCGGACACGACACTTTGCTCCACAGGTCGGTTGTCGATTGGCTGGGGTTAATGTCGTCGATGAAAGATTCCCAGCTTTCTTTTTTTGCATCTCGAATAATGTCCCTGCATTCGTTCCTCTCCGTTCGGTAGTTCTGAAGAGCGGCTTCCCGATCTGGGTGGTCTACAGGAAGACGTTTTTCTACTCGTTTTGCGCTTTGGTACTGGGAGACCACCAGTGCAAGGCTTTCTTACCTGGTGTCGCGCTTGTTCTTGGAATGGCTTCGGTAGCAGCGTGGAACATCATCTCGATGAAGTTAGTTATGGTGGTGTAGGTGTTTTGTCTGCAATACTCCTTCGTGGCATCCTGGTAGGCTTTCCAGTCGGCCTGTTTATATAACCACCGAGGTCTTCGAGATATTTCTGGGGGTTTCTCATCCAGCTGGATGCTAATCGGATGATGGTCACTGCCCCTCGGATCATCGCTAGCAGGTTTTCCAGTCGGCCTGTTCATATAACCACCGAGGTCTTCGAGATATTTCTGGGGGTTTCTCATCCAGCTGGATAGCAGATGATGGTCACTGCCCCTCGGATCATCGCTAGCACACCAAAGAAGTCGATGGATAATGCTTGCGCTGGCGAAGGACACGTCTACCGTCGACTGCCTCCGGCCACTAGTCCAGGTGATGGATCCGTCATTAACGAGGATCAGACATCTGGTTTCGGCGAGGTCCATGATCTCGCTACCTCTCTTGTTGGTTGGGTATCTCCCCCAGGCTTGATGATGTCCGTTGACATCTCCCATCAGTATAATGGGTCCATCAAGGGTGTCTAGGAACTTATCTAGATGGTTCCTAAGGTCGGTAACAGTCTGACATGGCAGGTAGAGCGATATGACCGTGGCAGTCATTGGACAGCATATTCTTGCGGCAACGATTGGTAGATCAGCCGGGGTGGTGGGTGATCTTTGTGTATGGAAGTGAGGATCTGATTCCGACGGCGATAGAGTGGTACATGTTACTCCCTGTCTTTAATATCCAACGATACTGCCCTGACAGTGACCGGTTCCTGCTAATCACGCTTGCTTTGTGCACCTCCTGGATAGCGAGGATTGCCGGAGAAAGGTCCCTAACCAAAGTCTCCAGGTCACTTATGTTGTGGTGGAAACCGTTCATGTTCCATTGTATTGCCAAACATGACTTGGTTGCAGAGAGAGTGCCGTGTAGCTCCACCGATAGCGGGGCTGTTCATTAAATTCGAGGGGGAAGGGAGGTGGGCAAGAATCTCAAAAAAATTGTCTACGTAGTTAATGAAAAGCCCCTAATACGAAACGCGGAAAAGTTATTTATGCAAAACACAAACGAAGAGAGTACCAGAGCTGAGCCAAAAAGTTGAGCTCGTTTCTTCGGCCTTCTGGTCTTAGAATTATCTCTATGGTTATACCCCTTCCTCCCCTACTTCGTTGACATATGAACCAACATTTTGTTCAATATTTAAAGTACCGTCTTCTGACAGGTAAAACAACTGCCTAACTGCGTTATCATAAAATGCAATCTTCACTTTCTTCTCTGCTTCAGAAACCTAATTTAATGATGGAGCTACTGAAAAAAATTAATGTATTTTTTTGGCAATTGTTTTATCCCGCGGCGTTTGAAATCAAATAAAAAAAGGTGCAAATCAATAAAAAAAAAAATGTGACGAAATGTCAGTTCCTGTTGTAGTCGATGTGTCAAATTTAGTGTACATTGATCACAGATGAACCGTGGTCTGATTATGCTAACATGAATTGTCGCTAGTTTTGAACCATACTCGAAACATTGAAATACTTGATAAATTTAAGATAAAGTAAAACAATCAAAAATGCATGACATACATCAATTTTGCGTAGTTCTACGTTATACTGCGGTCGTGTCTAGGGCACAACCCTTTAATTTTTTCTCCTTGATTTGTTTTCCGTCGATCTTGTTTTTCGTGCTGAGCTACCCTACATAACCCTCATAAACCGGCGACTAACGGCTTTGCTTCCCTTCCGAAGGAAGGCATGATCAGAGATGTTATGTCTCAGAACATCCCAGCGGCGCCGACTGGGATTGAACCCAGGCCTGCTGGGATGAGAGGTTATCACGCTTACCACTACACCACCGGCGCCGCTGTTACCCCGTTTTTAAACCATGTAATCATTAAACACTTTCATTTTCTGCGGAGTATTAACCAGGTAATTTGTCAGACTTCGACCGGGAAAACCGGGAAAATCCGTGAATTTATAAATGAAAATTCACTGGCCACCCTGGCAGAAGCTAGGATGTTAAACGATAAATACCACCATAATACTAAAATTGTCTAAATAAATTCTAAAAAATCGCCCAAAAAAACTTTATTAAAACTATTATCATTAGATCGAATACTAGGTGACTAGTATTCCAACAGAAATGTACAAATGACATTTAGTTTGATTAAGTTTTCCTCCCCTAATGCTTAACCTTGAAGATGAATGAGGAGGATGATAAAGGGGTGATCCACTGCAAAAAAAAAAGATATCACGTAAACGTGATTTCCCTAACTACATGCTAATAGCAAGTAAGCACCCGTAGTCGGTAAGCATCCCGATAGTGTTCCAACCGTTCGCTCATTATTCATCCTCCACCCGTGACTTACAGTAGACGAGAGTACCTTTCAACCCTCCGCCACCGCCCTCCATCGCGCCAAGATTGCTATCGCCATTAGACAAAACGTATACTAACCGTCCAGGCAGGTGGTCTTTACAAAAAATGCAACATTAACATCGGTCACTAATTGGTGGTTATTTTCGTCTATGTAGTCGTAACGTGTCGTCGCCGTTCGATTGCTGCTATAGCCATAGCAAGCATTTTGGCTGAACACCAACAGGTACCCGTAGCAGTCTGGATCTTCGCGACACAATCGTGCACATTTTGCGTTGACCGCGTCTTCGCGAGACTTACTGACGGCGGAAGCATAGAGCGGAAGTACGCCTCCCGTTTCCTGTTCACCTGGGACCGGTCGCAGGCCAAGGATTTTGTGGAACACTGGCGCGTGTGAACATTTTGGCGTTGTTGTTCCTGTGGACAATGTTCATAACTCTTGTTGCTGCAACGATGCAATAAATTGACACACTTTACTCACCTGCAGCAGTAGAAGAGTGAAAGTAAATGGCAAAGATCAGCAGTGCTTCGGATATTTGCATAACGACTAGCATTGCGTTTTCGAAAGAACAAACTCGCGACTTAAAACTCAGTGATGCGCCACTGGAAACCGACAACAAGAAACTAATCGAAGCTGACCTGAACGGAGATACTTAGAACGTTGTGCGGGCTGAGCGGATGATTATTCGCTTCAAGATGAGACAATACCTGCGATGCGAGACGCTCAATGATGACGCTGTGGAATGGGAGAATGATTGTTGTTTCTGTTTTGAACCTGTAGTTCGCGCATGTATTTATTCCATATTGAGTGGGTTAACAAGTTTTAGATTCCCCTTTTTTTGATTTGATCATGCGGATGGAATGTATTTAGCATAGTTTGCAAACGATATCTTGGATAGCACTATTTGACCTGCTGACCGGCGACAAACACCCTGAGGATGTTACGGTCATCTCCGACGTAGACGAATTTTTGAACCAGCTCCAGTAGCAGCTCTTCGGGTGATTTTTCCTGAGTTAGAACCGCTGGTAGCTGGTAACGATTGGTTGGGTATAGCGAAACATCAACGAGCAGAGCGTCGAATTCCTTGCCAGGGGTAAAGTTGCCTACCTTGTCGGCGATTGCCATAGCTGAAAAAAAATGGAACGATGTTAAGGCTTGTTTCGAAACAGAGTCACGTCTTGATAATACTATTGGAAAGGGAGTGTTGTAGTAAATACAAACGTGAAATCATGTGCCTGCCTTTGAAAAACATTTGAATGTTCTTGAAATGCTTTTTTTTTTTCAACGAGTAAATTACACGAAATTTTGAAATTTTGACGGTAGTCGTCTCATTTGGCCATTATTTAGCTCAATAGAAAGTAATTATTGTGAATATTGAATGTTATCTTGTCAACAAAGTTCTTACTGAATGGTTGATAACAATATTGTCATGTACGTCACCACGTTCGAATGGGATCGCACCATAGACATGATACCAAGTAAACTGTTATCTTCAAGGCTATAATAATGCCATGACTTTGAAAAATAAACATCCAGACTCTTACTTTGTTGAATTAATTCTGGTGTGAGAGCAGCGAAATTTTCTAAACAAACCCTATGTGTCAACGTGGAAAAATCTACAACCATACTAACCTTCGGCTCCGCCCAGCGTCGCCAGATAAACGGCTTGCTTGTAGTTCAATGGCACATACTCCTCGTTGGCTTTCGTACCGGCTGCTACCCTTCCGGTTCCTTTGACATCCTGCTTTTTCATCATATTCAAATGGTGAGACACATCCAAGGCAGCTCGCATCACTTCGTATATAGCGATTCGGTTGCCACCGGATACGTCCGTTCCCAGGCCAACTTTCACATTGGCAGCCAACAGTCGCTTGACGTCACACATTCCGGAGCCCAAATTCGTATTCGAACACGGACAATGAGCAACCGAAGTACCCCGCTCGCTCAGAACCTTCAACTCTTCATCCTCCAAGTGGACTCCATGTGCCATCACGCAACGCTTCGTCAGAAGCTTTGCTTCGTCGTAAACGTCCGAATAGTGCTTGTTCGCAGGATAAAAATCTTTCACGCTTTTCACTTCACCCAAGCTCTCCGAAATGTGCGATTGGATGTTCAAGTTGTACCGTTCGGCTAACTCGCCAAGCTTCTTCATCAACTCCATGTCGCAGGTGATGGCGAATCGTGGAGTAATGATCGGTTTCACGCGATCCACATTCTTCTCCAATACATATTCGATGAATTCAACATTGTCTCGAACAGAGTCTTCCGTTCCAGATTCGCTAGAAAATAAAATCCATTAATCACAAATCGTAACCACCTTACTATCCTTCCAATTACATATAGTTATCCGGGCACAAACGATTCGATGAAACCTTGCCCACGAAAGCACGCTGACCTTGACGAATGATTTCGTCAGTCAGCACTTTGTTGCTTTCGTTGTAGATCGTAGCGAAATAACATGCACAAGTGGTGCCACTCGCGAGCGTATCACGCACTACGGCACTGTAAACCTGGTGGGCAAACCCGACATCCTTGTACTGCGACTCCAGTGGGAAGGTATAAGACTTAAGCCATCCCAACAGATCCTTGTCCAATCCAAGACCAATATTCGGTGCCTGCGGTGCGTGGATATGGCAATCGATGAAACCCGGCAGCAGGAATTGAGATTCGGAGAGAGTGATTTGCTCGAAAGAATCTTTTCCGGCGAGTGATTCAAAGTCAACTTTCGGCCCCACAGCAACAATCTGTTCGAAACAAGAACAATCAGCCGTTGCTGAGGTTTAAAATTTAAGTCACACAAGGTCAAGCACGCGTGTTATCATTTACTATAATCCATCCTCTTTGGGAAGATTTGCATTGTGTGTCGTGCCATGATAACCTTGTAGGTACTCACTTTTCCATCCTTAACAGCTAGGTATCCATCGGGAATCACTTCCAGCTCGTCGAACGACTTGGAGTGCACAATTTTACCGAAAAACACTTTTTCCATGGTTGACTGAGACGCTTCCTTACCGGCGACAGCTGATTTATGAATGAAATATGTTGCGCTGTTTGGCAGAGCGGTTTTGTGTGGAGGAGAGGGCTAGTGTAGTAGTGATGTCGTTATTCCGGTCTTGTTGGGTGGATTTGTGAGAGAGAATGTATTCGGTATTCGTGTTGCATCGTCTGCTGGGTGTCTTTACCTGATTCGGCCCAATGTTGATGAACAGTGCTGCCGGCAGCGCTGCCATTTATACAGATTTATCTGTATTATACAGATTTTTTATTCTTAATACAGACCCGATACAGAATACAGATTTATCACAGATTTTTAAATTACAATACAGATTTATACAGATTTTTATAAAATGCTTGAGAAAAAAAAAATTCAAAATTTATAAAAACAAAATAACTTGCTCGATTTTATCAGCGTACCCCCTTCTCTCCAAAATTAATTGTTGTGCTTTACATGTGGATTATGGGGATTTACAGTATTAATTGAATATTTCCAAAATAAGCATGTAAGTTAAATACAAGAAAAGTGCACGAGCACATTAAAATGGTTCAAATACAAGTACTCGTAAACATTTTACTTGCATTGAAAATGTATTTCGTAAGAAATTGCGGATTTTCTGATATTCTCCATACTGCAAAAATGATTTTACCAGCACTGGCGGGGCGATATCTCTCGACTTTTCGGTGTAACTACCACACAAATGATGTAATAAATTCAGTGCCAACATTTCAAAGGGGCGTAATTGCTTTTGTAAACAATGACTTTAGCCATCAATTTCTCGCGAATGAAATCTTACCTCTTCAAAATAACAATGCTAGCTGGTAGAGGAAACATTCCTCTACCTACCGGTGTCATTATTTTTCATGAGTGAGCTTTTATTCGCGAGAAATCGATGGCTAAAGCCATTGTTTACAAATGCAATTACGCCCCTTTGAAATGTTGGCACTGAATTGTATTCATCTGTATTAAAAATATCAAATAGTAATGAATTCGTGCACTTTTTTGCATTTAAAACTGCTTATCAGGAAGATAATGAATAGAAACTAAAATCTCCATACATTTTCAAACGGCTTCATATCACTCTTATAAATAAGTACGGACGATATCACAAATGGCGCAATTATATCCCGTATGGTTAGTACGATAGCCCGAATAGGTGGTTAAGCACTTTTTATGGTTATTTTGTGTGCACTGTATTTGTAAAACAACAAAACATGATTAATTAAGAAAAAAATCGTCAATACAGAAAATACAGATTTTTTGATAGAGTGGATACAGATTTTTTATAAAACCACCTGGCAGCTCTGGCTGCCGGTACAGACGGAATGCTAAATGAATGTTAGCTGTAAGAAATTGTTTGATTTTTATCAAAAAATAAGTTGATTGTTGACCAGTTTTGGGTAGTCAAGTGTTTAAAATTTGTTCTATGATAAGTTGACATTTTTTGAATAAAAGAAAAGCCCTTTCATTTAGTGTCGTTTCTCGAGATTTGATAGGCAAATAATCATTGATAAAATTAGGTCAAACAATTGAATTTCAGTTAAGCCGTAACACAGACAAACAGACATAACACATTGAATATTTCTCACTGTAAAACATCGTCGCTAAAACATTACCGCCATCTGTTGAGTACTACACTGAACAGATGGCCGTAGTGTGTAAACGTCAAACACAAGGGAATTGACTATGCGTGCCACAGGTGGCGGTACTACCAACTACGATACATTTAAATTGTCCGTTAAATGCTTGTTCGATGAACAACTTGCGAGTGTTATGTCTGTTTGTCTGTGGCCGTAATCTTCATAACAGAGTGGATAATGTCCCTAAGAACAAACGCTTCGGACGTCAGGTCAAACGCTTTGAACAAATTATATAGTTCAAAGTCAAATAACGTAAAAAAAATAAACTGAATGCAGACAACTCTATATTTAAGATTTATAAATCTAATCTAACACCAACACAGCCAATTCTTGAAAGCATCCTGGGAAATGTTTGATATACCTCGATAATTTTTCTTGTCTATTTGATATATATTTCATATTGAAGATGCGACACATATACCAAAACGGCCAGGCCTACTGTGCAGCATTTAAGGGGCAGGATGATTCAGAAAACATCGGACCTGTTTAAATCGAAGATTTAAACACGATGCTTCAGGATTCAATAAAAGAATGAAACGTGAACATCTCGTATCGTATGTTCCGTTTTGCTAATTATAAGATTGGTTGATCGTTGAAAGAATCTTAGCTAGGAAGGTTAAGTAATGCTCCATTTTCTTCATGTTTCTATTAGAAATACTCAGAGGGAGAGATAGGCAGAGAAAACAAAATATTCGGCAGCAGGGATTTGTTCCTAAATTATCTTGCATCCCTTGCTAGAAGCTAGCATTTCAAATGACTTTTATTTTTGATTCGATTTACGTGCAAAATCATAATTGATTGCATCGCAATATTTTGCACATTTCTTGGTGCCATTAATTAACCAACGAAGATCAATTCACGAGCAAATTTTCATTATGTCGTAAGTAACATTCGCACCAATCCGAGAAAAATAAAGTTTTGTTTTGTTGACCGAAAAGTTATTCCTATTTTCAATTAAACTCTTATAATCTCATAGTGATAGCAATGTTTAACATATATAGCAGGGTTCTAACCATACAAATGCAATTCGCTAGCTTTCATGTTAAAAATACTGGTTTTTAAGTCATAAGCTATTATACGTCGTTTGGTGGCCCTATTGTTACTTAAGTCAAAGTGTATTTACCAGGATATTCGGGAGAATTATCAATTACGTCTCCTTACGTGCAGCCCATTCATCATTTTAGGACCACCGAAATCATCTTAGCAACAAACAGTTCGATTTATTCACTTTAATAATGAGAAAGCGAAACGACGAACGTACACTTTTCACGGGTTTCTCAGCGCTGTTACTTAAGTCAAACGGCATCTCCATAGAAATCGGGTGACTTAAGTAACATCGAAAACTATTTTGATCGGAAGGTGATTACGTCAAAAAGCAATTTGACTGGTAAATAAATTTAAAAATGGGATGTGATCCTATATTCGGACAGAATATAGTGTAATAGCAGGAGCATCGATTGACACTGATAGCTCGACTTTGTTCACCTTTGTTACTTTCGACGTAATGAAAATTTGCTCTTGAATTAATATGTATTTAGAAAATCTCAAATGTTACGTGACGCTTGTAACTTTGACCTGCATTACACGTCATGTCTACTAAAAATGTTGGTGAAATTTACCGTACATTCACGTAAACAGATTTAGTGTATTGGTGTTTGTGTGTTTGGAAATTTGATATTTCCGTGAAACGAGATTTACGTGATTTTCAGGTACTAAAAAAAATCAATATGGCGTCACCGAGCGTGGTGGAAGACACAAACGTTTGTGGTGCAAGAACTCCTCAAATATTCAAAATTCCTCAGCGCTTGCTTCATATGTTGGACGGTAATTAGATTCTTTTACATTAAGTTATTTATTATTATATGTAGCCTTTTTCAAGTTTTATAATTTCAGACGGTGACATCAGCATTTTGAGTCTGCAAACAGGTGTTAATATTTTGTCAGAAATAAAAAAAACTCATACACGTTTCTACCAACAATCAATACGAAACTAACGATTTTAAATTGGCTCACCACTTTAGTAGCCTATTGGTCCCAAGCAAACGATTAACGTACCCTATTCTAGTTGAAATTCTATTACTACACTATGTTTGTTTTGATTCGCTATGAAAGTTTGACAGATAACATCAGGGGTGTGTGGATTCATGCAGAACATGCAGGGGTGAGTGAAATAGCTTGGGACTGCTTGGGACCGTTGTTCTGGTACTGAGTGAGCCAAAAATAATAATGATTTTCTTCGGGACCCAGTGGTCTTAGAGTTACCTCTATGGAAAAACCTTTCAATAGATTTCGAAAAAAAAATTACGGATAATGGCTTATTGAGAAAGTTCCAGATGAAAACGAACGGAATTTCTGGGAGATACATTTGATAGAAGTTGAGACGCTGAAAGAGTCTTCCTAAGGTAGATTGGAAGAAACTTCTGGAGAAAGTAGGAAGTCAGAGGGCCTACGGATCAGCCGAAAAAAGCTTCAAGGAGAAGTTGGGGAAGCATTCCGGAAGAAAGAGATTTCTTGGGGATGTTAGCACAACATTCCCTGAAGTTCCTTACATATTCTAATGATCCTGAGTAATTTTCCTAATCTTTATAAAACATCCCTGAAGACCCAACCCAACCAACCCTGAACATTCCTGAACAGCACTTTGGAATATCACATAATTCCTCAGAACTCCTTGAAAGTTCTTGTAATTTTTCTAAAGTTGTTTTGTCTGATCATCCTTGAAGTACTCGGCATTTCCTTGATTATAATGAAAGAAGCCACCAGAAAATCTCTAATCTTCTTTAAAGGTATCCGGACTTTCATGAAGATTTCGGAACTTCTTAAGTGTTCAGCAACAGGAACATCAGCATCTTCCGTTTCCAAAACTTTCAATAACCTCTCGGTTTTCGGAAATTATCCTAATTTCTCGGAACTCCTTTAAAGTTTCAGTAATTTCCCTTTAAATTAATTGATCTGTTCTAATGTTCTCAGAGTTTCCCTACGTTCTCGGAATTTCCGCGGAAAAAAATAAAAAGTCCTGAAAACCATTAAATTTCCCTGAAGTGGTTCATTGGAGTTCTCTGGACTTTCCTGAAATTCTCGGGTTCTCGAATTTTAAGGGAATTTAATGAAACTTCCGATGAATTATCGGAACTTACACTGAAAGATTTTTAAACTTACCCAAAAGTCTGGACTGTTCTGAAGATTCAGAACTACTTAAAAGTTCCTGCAGTTTTCCTGTGAAGCCAAAATGGAACCGTTATAAGGTGAAGTTACGGGGAAGTCGAAAAAAAAAAACTGACGGGAGAAGACGGAAGAACCTTTCTAGCGAAACCAGATGAAACATGAATTATCGGGATGATTCATCAGTTGTTTCTTGATTCCTGGTAGCCAAAAACGGCGAGGAAATGGAAACATTAGTCGAAAGAGTATCAAGCATAAAGCTGGGTTT